CGATCCTCCTCTCGAATTGAGGATCAATTGTATCTTGCTATTTTATTCATCTTCTAGTGAAATACAAGCTTTTCTTTGAGTTTTCTCTCAGATTTCCTTGTGGTGTTGGTGTTTTTCTGCTGTAAACAGCAGATTTATGCTGTTTTCCTGCTGTGGACAGCAGTTTTGCTGTTGAATGTTCGCCGATTTTGGTTAGGTTACTTGCGAACGCAAGTGTTTCCTATCAGAATGATCAATATATTTTAAACTTGAGGGGGAGCATGAAAATCCTAAAATCAACTCTTTAAATATAGCCTCTACATTCAATCCGCTCAATTTATAGATCCCAACAATCAAGGAAGCTACCTTGTTGCCTTCCCAACTAACGCTTGACTTCCACCAACCTATTCCACTGACCTCTTGTTGCCAACACGCCAACTATTCGTTGCAGTCATGTTCTCAGCAAGTTCCGGCTAGCTAGCTCTCTAGCTGGATTCACAGGCTTGTCCTAGCATCTCCACATGCCTGCGGTCCTCTTGCATTCAAGCATTCAGCTACTTCCTGCATTTCTGCCAAACTTTATTCCTCCAGATTTCATTTGCCAGCCCATGTATTTTCTAGCTATTTTTTCCCATCTGTTGTCCACTAGCTTATAAGGAATCGGGTAAACATTCATACCCACTTTACTGTAAATGATTATATTAATTTGCTTCTTCATTTTTTCTTTCTTTATTTGGCTAGTTATGGGCTGATTTTATTTTGTAGCTTTCTTTCTATTCTTGACTCAAAACTTAAGCTATAAAATGTGTACCCTTTCTATAGTTTGTGAAATTTAAAATATGAAGTATTTCTCTCTCTCTCTCTCTCTCTTTCTTTTAAACAGATAAGGTAATGAAAAATGCCTTTTGTTATTTTGGCATGTAAAATGAAGGGTTGAAAATGCACCAATAGATGTGTAGATTAGATTAGTTTCAAAGCATTAGGAAGTACAAAAAGGGACAAATCTCTGTGAAATGGAAATAAATTGCTTAAAAAAATTCATTTAAAATAAATTTAATACTTCATAGAACAGTCAACAAGAACATATTAGAATTAAGGACTAATAATGTAGATGCTAAATATTTAGGATAATAATAACAATGATGTTGATGAGTACCATTGATGCCATAAAGAAATGTCCACAATCATTTATTGTTTTACTAATGTTGAAATATGCTTGCAGAATGTTTTAATTTTATGTATATATTTTTTTATTCATTTCTTTCTTTCCGAGTAAGCAGGTTAGTGAGATTCTGGACTCAGAGTTACTGGGTGAAGGATTGATACCAACATTGCAACATGCGCATGATATGCTATTGACTTCCAATGCAAAAACTATTCCATATCATGCCACCACTTATGGCCAGGTTTTGTTGCTTTTCTTATGATTTGATCATCAGATCTCATATGGTAATTTTAGATGTATAAGTGCTTTTTTACACCCAAGTAATATTATATGCCAATTTAACAAATTTACTACCCAAGTACACTCGCATATGTCTACTCGATTTAATAGATAGCTGACAGTTCACAATAGGTGAACTCGCATATTGTGGACCTAGAGAATGAAGACTCACCTAGGAGTTACTAACCCCAATTTGATAAAGTGTCCGGAAAGGAATTGCCTCCCAAGGCAATGTCAAGGGTTCACATGCACCACTTGATTAAGACTAACCCTCCAGTGCGAAAAACATAATTAAAGCTACTCGTCATCACATCGGGTAGAGAGTCATCAATGAAGTCCATCATCCTAGCTATAAGGAAGAAATTCAAGACCACCTCATCGCACTTTGCTAATCATAGAGTCCACTACCCTTGCAATTTAAGCACTTGTCCCCTATATTGAAGTAATCTAGGGATTCCACCCAAAAAGTTGCCAATGCCTCCAAAGGACTGGTCAACAATAGTCCTCTCAACTTGGCCCCACCAATGAACTTGCTTTCATCCACTATCTCATGCAAGTACTCAACAAGAGCGGATTCACCCCAAGGTTGAGAAGTTGAAACACAAAAATGTAGTCATTCACGTGGCCTATTAAAACATGACACATATCTAGGGTAGACATTACTAGGGGTCATTTACTTCTACACTTTTTTTTTTTAATGTAGCATTTCCTATAGCCCTTAAATCTCTATAAATAATGGGTGTAGATGTATATTTTGAATCTCTTGGCACTTTATAAAGTGATTATTATGCTAGTGATATATGTTCGTCCAAATCTTTTTCTTTTCTTCTCATTCTCACCATAGGTTCTCGGGTCGTATCCCTCTTAACTTGCCTGCTAATATTATCACATATCACCCATGGACACAATGGGATCCAACATTTTGAAAGGTTTGGTGAGCATGAATTGATTAATGACTATAAGAAAGGCACAACCTTATGAGCAGGCCAACCTTGATCCATTCGTCAACATGAAAGACCTGAACTATACCACTCATCGTGGTCTTATGGATATGGAGGAAAGATCTATGAAGATGATTAAAAATGCCTTAGTAGGGTTATAAAGGTGTGCACCAAGGGAGAGCACCATTGAGGGATCTTTTAACTTGGCTATTTGCCGTGGGAGGCCAAAAAGCAAAGTGCTGATTTCGACACCTAATCCAGTTCCCACTTGCACTATAATAAGTGATGAAGAATATAATCTGCCACGTCAGTGTGTGAGAAGGGCCAAACTTGAACTGGCAAATGCTTTTTTCAGAGAGATAGTAAAGGCGAGATTGCCTTCAAAGTTTAAGATGCCTTATTTGGAGTCCTATAGGAGCATGCCTGACCCAGTAGACTATGTAGTGACTTTTGTATCCATGACATCATTGCTGGATGTTAGTGATGATTTTTAATGTTATCAAGAAGTTAATGCTTAGGTGATTCACTCGCTTGCCTCTAGGGGTGATCACTTCTTTTGTGGATTTCAAGGGAATAATTTTAACCCATTTTTTAAGCACCTGGAAGCCTTAAAAGAGTATCGTTGCAGGCCAGATTGCTCAGGATCACAGGATCACTTTCTTCGAGGGTGGAGGAGCTCCTTCGAGCCACTCATCCCTACCAAGGAGAAGGTATGCGCTAGGTTTCATCATGGTACTGGACTATTTACAAAGATCATGGCCATGACATGATGAAGTGCCATCACCTATGCGAACTAGTTGAAGATTTCATCAAGGTTAGGAAGGTAAAGGAGTTCTTCTGACCTTGGTCGGTGCTTAGGGAAGGCTCCAATGGAGATCAGTGGGAATGAGTCCTCCATTGGAGATTAGAGGGAATGAGACCATTCATGGTTGCTTCATTTATATAGCCGAAGTGGTGCCTGCCATTATGGGAGGAGAGCTAGATGAGTTTAAATAGAAGGGTCTGTTTTGAGTTTATGGGAGGAGAATGTATGCGCCAGTTTTCTTCCCCAACCATGCACAACACAATCTTTGGGAGGCCTCTCTTGAATACTTTAGTGGTAATGGTAGTAGTTTTGACTTACCACAAGGTAGTAAAATTCCCTATTGGTAGTAGAGAGATCATCATGAGTGGTGACCTCACACAATCCCACACATGTTACCTTAAAGCATTGGGGAAAGTGGCAACCTCCCTAAAAGAAGTCCTGCAACTTGATGTTGAATGAGGCCGAGATGGGAGACTATAGAGGTAGTGGAGGAGATTCAACTATAGAATTCAAGTCTAAAAGAACACTGAGAATAAGCATCTCTTTTAGCTCAATGCATTGAGACGAATCATTTGAGCCCTTAAGAGATGACGTCAATGTCTTTGCGTGGACAACAGTTGGGATGTCCAACAGCGATGAAGAAGTCGCCTACCATAAACTCAATGTTAGAAGGGATGCTAGGCTCTTTAAATAGAAGATTAGAAAGGCTGCAACCTTGCTAGTCTAGCCAATTGAGCAAAAAGTGAAATTTCTTGATGCCGACTCCATTAGAAAATTACAATACCCTGATTGGATTTCTAATGTAGCGATGATGCATAATAGGATTAACAAATAGAGGATGTGTGCTAACTTCACGAATTGCATCTCACCATGCCCTAAGGATCGTTACCCACTCCTCAAAATCAACTTGTTGGTCGACTTAGTTGTTACATTCTCTATTATAAGCTTCTTAGATTGTTTTTCTAGCCATCATCAAATAAAAATGCATCATGGCGATTGCGAGAATACATTCTTCATCACGAGAGAAGGCCTATACTATTGTAAGTGAAAGTTTGTTAGGGTTGTTAAGCCCTTATGAACTAGCATGAGGTTAACCAAGAGGGGGGTTGAATTGGTAGTTTTAAAAATTCTTAAACAAAAAGAAATTTTTTTTGAAACCTTTTTGAATGTTTTAAAACAAACAAGATCAACCCTTGATGCGATTAACAAAATAAATCAGAAATTTTAACCATACAATCAACCATAGAAAATTAAAGTGCGGAAATTAAGATGCAAAAAAATAATAAGAAAGAACACAAGTTTTATAGTGGTTCGGTCAACTTGACCATGTTCTACTCCTTGGAGACACTTTCTCCAAGAATTGCGCTAAACCTTCAGTGACTCTCTTTTTGCTCTCACAGTAAGGCGGAAAGCCCTTACAAAATCTTTCAACCATCCCGGTGAGGCAAAGTACATTGAATCCTTTTTCACCCTCCTGGTAAAGGCAGAGAACCTAAAATCCTTTTACTCCCTCCTGGAGTAGGCAGAGAACCTGGTTTGATGCTGGTGATCGTCTCCCTAGAGCCACCAAGAAACTAAGGACGAAGCTTGAAGAAGATGAATGAATCCTTGCTTGGAGCAACCTTTGTGACTCCCCTCACAAGCTCCCCCTCACAAGATTCTCCCTCTCTCTCCTAAACTCACCTTCTCCTTCTCTAAGCTCGCTTAGGTTAGAACTTCAACAAAGATTTGTCAAAGGACAAATACATAAGCTTAAATAAAAGAGCACCAAAAAGCCCCAATTTTCAATTCTGCGACAGATCCTCTTGTACGATTAATACAAAATAGCCATATCAGCCAGGACGATTACCTTTGCTCTATACGATTAGTACAAGTATTTGTACAAATCATCCTGTACGATCTTTCGATCGTTCGGGATGATTAATTCAAAATACCATATTGATCATCCAATACGACATTGGACGATGGGTAGCAATCTCCAAATCGTCCCGAAAATGTCTCGGGACATCCAGGACGATCCTCTTGAACGATTAGAGTAAAGTTATATGGTTTTCCGACTAAATTGTCCAGTACGTTCCAGATGGATCATCCTGTAAGATTTGATTGAACAATCTAACCATAATTACTTTCCTAATCACCAGATCAATTTAGGTATGATTGTAAAAAATCGTCCAGGACGATGCACATCGTCCTGTACGATTAGAACAAAATTTGAAAATTAAAACATTACCTAATTTGTGATTGGTGGCTGTTTTTATCTTTTAAGCTGATCGTCCTAGACGATATAGATCATCTAATATGATTAGTTTAATCACATGTAATTAACCGGATGCCCTAATTTTAGTTTCTATTTTTAAACAAATCATCCAAAATGATCTATTATCGTCCTGTACAATATAGTCAAAAACTGAAAAATTCTCTAACTCACCAAATTTCTCCCCTTAAGTGTGTGCGTGCAAAGTTACTTAGCTTGGGGTCCACCATACTCAAGATTTGACTCAAGAAAAGGTAAAAAGAACATTAAAGTGAAAATACAGACGGACTCAATCGTAGTCTTATCCTATCTTGATCTGATTTTCATTGCAAGTGAACTTGTGGACCTGAAATGTTAGTCAGTGAGGGAAACAAAACAAATATACAAGAAAAACAGTACTAAAGAAATAATAATTTTGTTATCATAAAAAAAACAGACCTTGGGCCCAGATTTGCAACAGTAAGGTGATGCCATTTGAATTGAAGAACACAGGGGCTGCTTATCAAAGAAATATGGATTGCATCTTCAAATAGCAGAAAGGGTGGAATGATGAGTGGATTACCTATTGGTGAAAGAAAGTCGTCCGGGAAACACACATAGGATTTGAAGGAGACATTCACCTTGTTAAAAAAGTATAATATGCGATTCAATCCACTAAAGTATAGCTTTGGTGCAGGCTAAAGCAAGTTCCTAGGCTTCTTTTTCACCCCTAAAGACATCAAGGTTAACCTTGATAAGGTGAAAGCAATAGTGAAGATGCCATTGCTTACGACTACCAATGAAGTGCAGTGTGTCATTGGGCGAGTCTCAGGGCTGAACTGATTCATTTTTGGGCTAAATGAAAGATGAATGACCTTTTTTGAATTGCTGAGGAATGCTAAGAAGTTTGTTTTGTAGTGAATGCAGGGTTTCATTTCAATAACATAATCTCATTCTCTCATTATCGCTTCTACTTCAAAGTA